ATGGAGCGGCCAGGGAGGGCTGGCAGCTGACACCTGGAGGTCTGGGAAGGGGAGAATGAACTGGGGGTCTCACCCCACTCCAACACGCCTTCTTCAATATTGTCGTCCTCGCTGAAATCAATGTAGGCCTCCAGGTGGGCCAGGGCCTGTGCAGGTAGGGAGGGGAAACTGAAACTCCTCCTTCCTTCCAGAAGAGGTGCCGCCCCACTCCGGGTCACCGAAGCAGTCAGGGCAGCTCAGGCTGCAGAGCCCTCAGCCCCTGTGGACCCCAGACTCAGGGCCAAGCAGTTCTTAAATCCAGACTCCTCGTGTTTTAGAACCACAGGGGAGGAGACAAGGGGAAGAAGGAGAAGAAAGGGAAGAATGACGGAGTGGAAAGGGGATAGGAGGGAGCAAGAATGAGAAAGGAGGGATGAGGAAAGCGCTAACTGGGAAAGAAAAACCCCAAGGGGGACAAGGGGGCCCGGCGGAGTCTCACTTGCCGTAGTTAGGGTCTCTCCCCAGCCTTGGCAGAGCTGTCCTAGCTCCCCCTGGAGCTGCCTCAGGGCCTGGCGCCGCTGGGCCTCTGTCTCAGCGTGGATGAGGTCCCCCAGCCCCTCCACCTCAGTCAGGCTCAGTTTCCCATTCTGGAAGGCCCGCTTGGTGAACTCTCCAGCCTCAGCTGGCCGAAGGCCCGGTATGCTGCCTACCTGCCAAGGAACATCTGCTCAGAGCCTGCTGCACCCTGGGGAGCTCCAAGAAAGTGGAGAAACTTACCCAGTGCTCCCAGCACAGCACTCACAACGGCCGGCCCACCGTGGACATGGAACTCAGCACAGTCCTCTCCAGTAAAACTGTGGGGTCCTGGAAAGGAGGCCAGGAAGACACTGGTGCTGTGAAGGGATCCTTCCCTAAGCAAGGCTGGCAACACCCAAGCAAGGTCCATAAACACACAGATGAAATGAGGGAGGCCTGATTTACCATGTTGACTCTGGGACGGAGGAAGGAAAATCCCCCTTTCACCAACCCCCCTCCAATTACCCAAGCCCTGGCCATATCCCAGCTTCAGTCTTCACTCCCCTGAAGGGGGGACTGGCAACTTCTGAGGATACCTCAGTACCAATTCCCATTGGGTGGGGAGAAGGGAAGGGAAAAACCGGCAATCATATGGAACCACAGAAACAGGAGCTGCTAAAACCATGTGCTCTTGGTCTCAGTGACACCAACTCTTAGAACCACAGGCTCAGCCTCCTAGACTCTCAGCCACAAAGTCTCGAAAGCACAGACTCCACAGCTCTTAGAACTGTGCGGTCCTTGAGGCTTAGAACCATGGCCTCCTGGACTCTCAGAACGACAGACTCCTAAAACTGTGGACTTCTCAGAATCGTGGCTAATGAAGAGCGTCAGAAAGTACCAACCTAGCTCCAAAAGGTCAGGGAAACTGAAGGACTGATAGGGAAGTGCCACCCTCCCTGGTCCCTCCTGACTCACCTGGGAACCAGAGAATCAGGCCCCTGTCTAAAGGTTCAGCGGAGCCGGGGTCCCGCAGTAGACGAAGCGTTGCAACCCGGGGCTGCGGAAGGGCCCGCGAGGCTGTGAGTCCCAGGACGGCGGGGCCACTGGCTGGACCGCTGGTGCGAATGACCGCCACACCACACTTGCCCTGGCCAGAAGACAGGGCAAAGATAGTGGCTCGACCGCCAGAGATGGGTCTCCCTGAACAATGCCTTGGCACGCTGGGTGGGGAGGGGAGAAGAGAGAAGAGCAGTCAGTGGGGGCACTGGCAGGAGGAGCAAGGGTGGGCTCAGGGAAGGATGGTCCAGCCAAACAGAATGGAGGGCCACTAACCTGTACAGGAGGATCCTTGCAGGGCCCTGTACTGACTTAGAAAACCACATGTAAATGTCATCTACGTTTCAGTGTGTTTTTATTTATTTTTATAAATATTTCTCAATTACATTTTAGCCTGGTCTAGGTCACACTCAGGAGTGCAGGTGCCTGATGGGTGATGGGTCTGACACACCTCAGGTCTGTTGGAAAGAGAACTGAATCTGGAGGGAGAGGGCTTAGGGCAGAGCCACTGGTCTGCTAGCTCGAGGACGTCAGAGTTGCTCTGGGCTGGTTTCCTTGTCTGTAAAATGAAGATGTTGGACCAGGTGCCTCTTAGAAGTCTTGAATTACTTCCTATAACATCACTAATGTGAAAATATATTTAACAGGAATGTATATGTATAGTCTATAGCAGATTGCGCACCATCTTGGGGAGGGAGGGCCGGAGGGAGGGGGAGAAAAAAAGTTTGTTGACAAATCAAAATACATAAATAATTAAAAAAAAAATCTTGAATTACAGATATTTCAAACTCAACACGTCCACAAATGCACTCATTCTCTTTCCTCCCAGGTCTTTCCCTCTTCCTACTTCTCTGTTACTGTTGAGGACACCATCACTCTCCCAATCACCCCAGCTCCCAACCTAGGAATCCATCTGAACTCCCCATCGTCTCTCATCCTTCCCACGTCCAAGTTGTTGCCAAGGCCTATCAATTTCACCCTTGTATTAGCTTTTTTTGGGGGGGGGCAACTAGGGTTAAGTGACTTGCCCAGGATCACACAGCTAGTAAGTGTCTGAGGCTGGATTTGAACTCAGGCCTTCCTGATTCCAGTGCTAGTGTTCTATCCACGTCGCCATCTAGCTGCCCCTTGTGACATCTCTTGAAGATGCCCCCTTCTCTCTTCTGACACTGACACCCCTCTGGTGTACACCCTCGTCATCTCATGCCTGGATCACTGCCATCGCTGCTGACAGATCTGCCTGCCACAAGGCTCTCCCTACTCCAACGCATCCTTCATTCCGCCCAGAGTGATTTTCCTAAAGCACAGGTCTGATGAAGTTATTGTCCAGTTGTTTTCAGTCACGTCCAACTCTTTGCGACGCCATTTGGGGTTTTCTTGTCAAAGATAGTAGAGTGATTTGTCATTTTCTTCTCCAGCTCATTTTACAGATAAGGAAACTGAGGCAAACAGGGGGAAGTGACTTGCCCAGGGTCACAGAGTTAGTAAGTGCCCAAGGTTGGATCTGAACTCAGGAAGATGAGTTTTCTTGATTCCAAACCCAGTGCTCTATCCACTGTGCCACCTAGCTGCCCCTGGCACACAGCAGGCGCTTAATAAATGTTTGTTGACTTTATTTACTAGATGGCTGAAGTCCCTTCTAACTCTCAAATTCTATGATTCTAGGATTAGGCTGACAGGTGGCAGAGTGTGTAAGGGATGGGCTTAGAGTCAGGAAAACTCCAGGAGATACTTACTCCCAGTGTGAGCCTGAAAAAGTAAACTTTCTTAGCCTCAGATCATCTGTAAAATGGGGATAATAGCACCTGCTGCACAGAGCTGTTGTGAGGATCAAATAAGATAATAATAACAAAAGGAAACTTAGTTCTGTTTGATAGATATGGAATGGTCTGCCATTTCTTTCTCTGGTTCATTTTACAAATGAGGAAACTGAGGCAAACAGGTGAAGTGACTTGCCCAGGGTCACACAGCTAGTAAGTGTATGAGGCCAGATTTGACCTCAGGAAGACAAGTCTTTCCTGACTCCAGACCCACCACTCTATCCACTCACTGCACCACCCACCTGCTCCTGGCACACAGTAGGAGCTTTATAAATGCTTGCTGACTACTCGTCCAATCCCCTGGGGGCACAGATCTGACAAATTTCGAACCTTCCATGACTTCTTACTGACTTTTCCATCTAGTGACTATTCAATTTAATCCAGAGGTTCTTAACTTAGGGTCTGTGAACTTTAAAAAAATATATTTAGATAGCGTATTCCAATACAATTGCTTTCCTTTGTAATCCTATGTATCTTATTTAATCCATTTAAAAACATGATTCTAGGGCAGCTAGGTGGTGCAGTGGATAGATCACTGGCTCTGGAGTCAGGAGGATATGAGTTCAAATTCGACCTCAGACCCTTACTAGCAGTGTGACCCTGGGCAAGTCATTTAACCCCAAATATCTCACAAAAAAAAATAAAAAAAACAAAACCATGATTCTGAGACGGGGTCCACGGGTTTCACCGAACTGCCGGCCTGAGGGGTTCAGGACACGACCTCGGCTAAGGCCCCCTGCCCTGGCATTCTCCAGCCTGGCACATCAGACCCTCCACCCGCCCACCCTTCCTGCCTTGCTCCATTCCCATACTCCCCTGCCCAGACACACTGGACATTCCAGCCAACTCAGACCATTAGCAGTTAATGATATTCCACCTCCTGGAAATTCCTCGCCCAGCCTCGGGGCATGCCTGCAGTGCCCTTCCCCCAGCGGGGGGCCTTCCAGATTCCTTCCTCCGAGGTTCAGTTCTGGTGCCAACTCCTCCCAGGAGCCTTCCCCGACTGCCAGCTCGAGAGAGTTCTCCGACAATCAATCTCCAAAGATCCCTCCCGGACTCAGGACCATAGAGCTAGAGCTGGAAGGGTGTGCCTCAAGGGTTCAATTTGTCCATCCACCCCCCATTTTACAGATGGGGAAACTGAGGCCCAGAGTGGTTAAGCACCTTGCCAAAGGTCACACGGGGCAGAGCCAGGCCTCTGACTCCAAAACCTGTCCTCGCACTACAAGAGGTCACCTCCCTAGTATTATACTTGTTTGTCCGGTCCTCCCAATTTAAAATGTAAACTCCTTTGGGGCAGGGACCGTCCGTTTGGGCGCTTTGCATCTTCCTCTCAGAGCGACTGGCCTTTGCACACAGCAGGCGCTTAATAAATGTCTGTTGAGGTTTTACAGATAGACAACACTGAGGTCCAGAGAAGGGCTGACACAAGGCAGCAGCAGCGGGATAAGAACCCACGTGTCTCCCAGATTCGCGGTTTGACCTACGTCCCGCCCCGTAGTTAACCCCTCGGCTACAGACCTAGACACCCCTCCCGCCCCTCTTGGACCGGGACGCACCTGGTGCACAGACGGGTACTCTGAGCCGGCACGCACACTAGGGCTCCCAGGCGCCGCCACATGGCGCGGGAAGGAGGCAGGGCCGGGGCGATAAGAGCGCCCCCTCCCGGATCCGGAGCCACGAGACCCCGAGCCCGACCCCAACTCCGACCCCGACGCCCCACGTGGTTCCTCCCGCAAGCCCCCGGCTCACTCCACGGCTGCTTTACTTGAGAGTTCCGCCTCCCTCGACCCATTGGTTGGTATCCAGGAGGTTCCGCCCTTGCTTGAGGCTTTATTGGTTTTTCTCGATGGCACCACCCTTTATGATGCTTGGTTGGCTATTATCCCTAAGAGATTGCCTTCCTTGAGGTGCGATTGGTCCGTGTCATAGAAGTCCCTCCCTTCTACAGCAAGATCTTATTGACTAGCTTCTCAATGGTACCACCCCCATCCCCCTTCCCCAATCCGGGAACCGCTCACGTTGAGGTGTGGTTGGTCCACCAACATAGGCACCACCAAGGCCGTGGGAAAGGTCCCGCCTTCCCTGAAATTTGATTGGTCATCCTCGTAGACGCCCCGCGCAAGTCTCAGCAGTGCCCTTCTGTGATTGGTTGAGACAGGGGCATGCTGTGCTGAGGTCTGCCACGTGAGGGCCCCCTAAAGCGGGAAGGAGTGAGCACAGCCGCGCTTTAGTTGGAGTAGGGCCACCGAGGGGGGCTAATGTGATGAATATTTATATAAAGATAATGAATATTAATGTAATGATGATGAATATCAATACGATTTGCCACCACAGTCTCGCGTGGACTGACATGAATATTCATGTAGTGATGTGACTGTTCCAGCCGGTTTGCATTGACGTTCACATGAAAGATCCTGAGTGATGGTGAATGTTAATTTGAAAACGAATTCACAAAGCGCTTCTTAGCCTCGGCTCACCCCGGGATCAGTCTAGGGCCACGATCAGGGCTGTGCACTGGGGCTGGGAGTGAATGGGGGGGGAGGGTAGGTAAGTCTGGGGCCAGGGGTCAAGACCTCAGTCTTGAGGTCAAGGAGTCACTTCGGGGCCAGGGTTCGTTCTGGGAATAAGCATCAATCTGGGGCCGTCAAGTCAACAAGCATTTATTAAGCTCCTACTATGTGTCAGGCTCTGTGCCAAGCTCTGGGGACACAAAGATGGTCCCTGCGCTCAAGGAGCTCAATCTGATGGGAGAGAGATAACGTGCGAACAGCTCCAACGTACGAGAGATAGAGATAACGGGGGAAGGCGCTATCATTAAGGGGGACCGGGAAAGGCTTCTTGGAGGAGGTGGGATTTTAGCTCGCACTTAAGGGGAGTCAGGGGAGGACCTGGGTGGGCACGAGGAGGAAGGGAATTCCAGGTGTGGGGCATAGCCAGTGAAAATGCTTGGAGACTTGGAGAAAGTGTCCAGTATGAGGAATGGCAAGGCGTCCAATGTCACTGGAGGGCAGAGTACTTGAAAGGGAGTAAGAGGTAAGAAGACTGGAAAGGTAGGAAGGTAATGAAAGGTGTTAAAAGACAGCGAGGGGTTGAAGTCAGGAGCTCATTCTGCGGTCAGGACCCGGGGCATCCTCCTGGAATTGGAACATCTGACCTCAGGCCCATTATTAGGCGCTCTAACTAGGGCTCTCAGTTCACTGACACCATCCACACCCTCCACCCCTTCAAATCATCCCAGGTATTGAGGGGGGAGGGGACCGCCTGAGCAGAAGCCATACTTGCTACACCCTCTTCAGGGCTCTGGACGTGGGGGTTGGGATTAGGGGAGAATCATAGTCAAAGTGCTGGGACTTGAAGCAAAGTGAGCATCTAGCAATTGGAGGACTGAACAAACTGTGACATATAAATGTAAAGGAATATTATCGTGCAGTATGAAATAATGACTGTGGAATCCAAAGGAATGCAGGAAGACCTGTATGATGCAAAGTGATGTGGACAAAAATAACACTAACATCCCGGAATCTGTTTAATTGTAATGACCAATCTTGGTCCCAGAGAACAGATGACCAAATTCTTCTTCCTCTTCTGGACAGAAAGGTGGGGGACTCTGGGTGTGGGCTGTTGCATACTCTATTGAATGAGATAATATTTGTAAAGCACTTAGCACAGTGCCTGGCACACAGTAGGTGTTTAATAAATGTTTGTTCTTTTCCCTTCCTTTGTCAGGCCAGATGTCTGTCTGCCGATTTTGCTAAACTGTTTTTTGGTGGGTAGGGGTAGGCTGTAATACCATGACATGTCCTTTATGTAAAAACAGAAGATAGCAAAAAAAATTTTTTAAAGTGATGAGGTAGGAGGCAAGTAGGGAGTCTTTCCCCCAAATCGGACTTTTGGTGGAGTGCGATCTCCAGAGGGGAAGGAAGTTAAGGAAAGAGGAATGTTTGGGGGGGGGGGGTGTTGAGATTAGGGAACCAAACCCTCCCACACAGCTTTCAAGGTGGTCAGTCCAGGAACCAGAGAATTGACTGTGAGTGCGGGGATTGGCACTGGGTTGGGGTGCCCAGCAGGGGATTCTGGACCTTTTTGCAATGTCAGAGCTGTGGCAGGTGCAGTTCTGGGTAGGGAGGGAAGGGAGACTTTCCTGAAACCTGATGTGAGCTCAGCCTCCCCACCTGTCACCCTTCCATCCCCAACTCCCAAGCCTGGGGCTTTGGGATCCTCAGACTTTGGACCCCAGGGCTCCAGAAATAAAGGCTTGGAGGGCTAGGAGAAGAAAGGCAAGAGGATGAAAAGGGAAGAAGAAGGGCTTCTATTTGACAACAGATAGAACACAGGGCAGGAGATGAAAGAAGAAATGGGTGCGTGGGCAGCCCAGAGCCCAGGGAGTCCAGACCAGACCAGATTAGAACTCAGATCCTAGACTAGTCCAGCCCACAGACCAGGGTGCTACCTAGACCAACTCAGCCCAAGTTCCAGAAAATCCAGATTCATTAACGTAACAACATGCCCAGTAGATCCCAGTCCAGATTATTCAGTGGTCAGACCAGCCCAAGGCTGCTTCAGGTCATCATGAGATACTTTAGTTTAAGGAACATTTATCAGCCCCTCTGCCCAGTGGGCCTTTCAGTGGAGCCCCAGCTGTTGTACTCAAGAGTGGACCAAAAAGGGAATATAAGAGGTACACACAAAACTGGGAGCTCAAAAAAGGCTTTCTGCATTTCCTGGTCACCAATAGCATCCCCTTTGATTATATCAGTGGTCTTCTTTACATTCAGAAGGCTTTCATTCAATGATTTCTTCTAGTCGTCTAGTTCCAGAGGTGGACAAACCAAGTGGACAAGACATTTTACTGATAGGTGAGGTGGGTGAAACTAGTCACGTGGACAGTCTTAGAGAAGTGGAGAGAGTCTTGAGGAAATGGGGCGAGACACTTCCTTCTTTGTCCGAACATGCCCTTCATGTCCCCACCCCTGTACTCCCCTGGGCACCACTTTATGCTTGATCACATCCTTACAATGTGGATAAACACCTTCCCTCCAGTGAGGCACACAAACAAAGCTCCACCATCATCCTATTTGTCCACAGCACCCCAATATGCTAGCCCCCTGTCTTCCCAACCCTTTCCTTCAGCCCATTCTGACTCCCAAGAATCTCTCCCAACAGATGTTTAATAATTTAGCTTGTTCTCGGACAAGGTTTCAATAAATATCAATCAATCAATTAACATTTTATCAAGTACTCACTATGTGTCAGGTACTGTGCTAAGCACTGGGGATACAAAAAGAGGCAAAAGACAGTCCCTGCCCTCAAGGAGCTTACAATCTAATGGGGGAGACAAGTAAACAAATATATACAAAACAATATATATGGAGGATAAGCAGGAAATAGAAGAGGAAAGGTACAGGAATGAAAAGGGGAAGGCTTCCTATAGGAAGGTGGCATTATAAAGGACGCCAGCAAGGTCAGTACCTACAGCAGAAGAGAGAGTTCCAGACATGGAGGACACCCATCACCCCAGGCAGAATGCCATGAACTAAAAGATGGAACAGCCAGGAGGCCAGTGTCACTGGGTCAAAGAGTATGTGTCTGGAAGTAAGGTGTTAGAAGACTAAAAGGTTGGAGGAGACTAGGTTTTGAAGGACTTTGAATGCCAAACAGAGGATTTTGTATTTGATCCTGGAGGGAAAAAAAAAAAGTCAGTGGAGTTTATTGAGTAAGGGAGTACATGGTTGTACCTGAACTTTAGGAAAATTTCTTTAGTGATGGACTGGAGTGGGGAGAGACTTGAGGCAGGCAGACCCACCAGCAGCTATTGAAATAGTCCAGCCATGAGGTATTAAGAGTCTGAAGGAGAGGGGTGGCAGTGTCAGAGGAGAGAAGGGGGTGTATTGGAGAGATGCTACAAAGGTGAAATGAACCATTTTGGGCAACAGCTTGGCCATGGAGGGTGAGAGATAATGGAGTCCAGGATGTCCAGGATAGTGAAGAGTCTAGGTTTTGAGCCTGAGGGACTGGGAGGATGGTGTTGCCCTTTATGGTAATAGGGAAGGTGGGGGTTGGGGGGAAGGGTTAGGAGGGAAAATAATGAATTCCATTTTGGATTGAGTTTAAGATGTCTACTGTTAATCTAGCTTGAGATGTCTGAAAGGCAATTAGAGATGTGAGCCTGGAGGTCAGCAGAGAGATTGGGGCAGGATAGGGAGATTGGAGAATCATCAGCATAGAGATGGTCATTAAATCAGTGGGAGCTGATGAGCTCACCAACTGAAGTGTTATTGAATGAGAGAAGAGGGCCCAGAACAGATCCCCAAAGGAGACCTAACATTAGAGGGTGTAAGATGGAGGGTCCAGCAAAGGAGACAGAGAAGGAGTGGTCAGAGAGGTAGGAGAAGGACCAGAAGAGTGGTATCCCAAAAACCTAGAGAGAAGAGAATATCAAAGAGGAGAGAGTGATCAACAGTGTCAAATGTTGCAGGGATCCAGGAGACTGAAGACTGAGAAAAGGCCATTGGATTCAGCAACTAAGAGATCATTAGAATCTTTGGAGAGAGCAGTTTCAGTGGAATGACAAGAAAGCCAGATTGTAAGGGTGGTGTTGGGAGTGGGGGGAGCTAGCAAAGACACCCTGACTACACCTAAGCCTGGCTCGTCTATCCCGGCTGGCTGGCTCCTTGCCCACCTGTCTACTATCCCTCTGTCTGCCTCTCTGGATCACTGCCTGCCAGTCCATCTGTCTCCCCTCTCTTATCCACATGTCTCTCTCTCTGTCCTCCCATCCTTCTTGTTTCTCATTCTTCTGTCTTACAATCTACCTGTCCATCTCTCTTCCTGACTGTGCTTGTTTCCCTGCTAGCCTGTCTGCTCATCTATCTGTCTCACCCCATTCTCTTCACCATTCTCTCTAGCTAGTAGGAACCCCCCACCTACCCACCCAAAGAAGATTATCAGAACCCAAGGGTGGGATTGGATCCCAGGAGGGCATTTGGTCCAGCCTTCTGCTTCCAAGACAGTGAAAGTCTATCATCCATGTTAGGTGGGTATTTGTCCATCTCTCAATCCAGACACACACATACACCCACACACCCCCACCCACCCACCCACCCACCCACACACACACTCACACACACACACACACACACACACGCACCCTCCACATACATTTCTGGGCCTTTTAGATGGGTCCGGGCAAGTTCCCACCGGTCCAATGAGGGGAAGGGCCCCAAAAGGGGAGAGGCTGAACGCACCCTCCATGCACTTCCAGGCCACGGTTATGGGCGCACTGACCTCGGCATCTGCAGGGCCCAAAAAGGTCCCCAAAACAGGCCGAGCTTGAATTCACTTTCCAGGGCTCCGAAGCCACACCAGTTGGGCTGGCCAGATTTGGGGGTGTTGGGGGGCGCTCAGGGTCCCGGGTCCCTCCACAGCTCCGGGGCTGGCCCTCTCGGGCCCCCGCCCAGGCCTGCCAGAGGCGGCCAATCAGCGGCGGGGGGCGCGGCCGACTGGGCTCTGGGGCGGGGACGGGCCCCCCCCGCCAGGATCGCACGGCTCTCGCGGCGGCGGCGGCGGCGGCGGCGGCGGCGGCGGTTCCAGCGGCTCCAGCAGCGGCAGCTCCTTTCTTTGTCTTCCGCTAGCCCCGGCGGCGGCTCCGGCCCCATGCCCCTGCGGCCGCTCCGGCTGGGCTGCGCCCCCCGCGGCCCCTGAGCCCTCCCTCTCCGGACCGCCCGCCGCCACCATGCCCGACACGGCCGGGCCCGGGGCCGGCGGCACGGCGGAAGGCGAGCGTGGCAAGCGGCCCCCCCCGGAGGGCGAGCCCGCGGCGGCGGCGGCGGGGGCCGGAGTCTTGGGTAAGGGGGCCGCGGGACTGACCGGACCGGGCGGGGCGGGAGCATGGAGCCGGGGCTGCGAGGGGCGGGGTGGGGCGGGGCGGCCCGGGGCACTGCAGCGCTGCGGGCGCCCCCCCACCCTGGGCAGGCAGGCTGCAGTGGGGTGGGATGGGGGCGTGCGAGGCTCTGGGCACTTTAAGGCCCGGGTGGTGCGGGGCAGTGCAGGGAGGCCATCCCAGTCTCCCCATCAGTCCCCGCTGTCCTGTAGATGTGCGGGCCAGCTCCTGCTCCATCCCCCTAAGTGGGACACTGGCCGAAGAGCCCTAGAGCCCCCTTACCCTGAGTCCCGGGTCCCCTCCTGCTCTGCAGTCCCAGTGACCTCAGATCAAGGTGAGGGGCCTTTAGGGGGCCTCGATAAGGGGAGTGGGGGGCTCTGCCGGGGGACCAGTCAATCTTGGTGGCCTCCTCCCAAAGTCAGTAACACTTAACGGCAGGTGGGACACAGGCAGAGCTGAGGAAGCAGTTTCAGGAGTGCAGCTTCTGGGCCAGGGCTGTAGTCTCTGCGTTCTCCGGGCCTTCCATCCCTTGACCCTTCTGTCTTCGCTGGGCCCACTCACTCCTTCCTCATTCACCTCAGGTTGCTGTCACCCAACAGAGCTGGGATCTAATGAGGCCAAGGTCACGGGTTAAAGCCTTCCTTAACACAGTGATCTCTTCCCTCTGTTTCTTGACCCCAAATGAATCCCTGGAGTCCAGATCCAAACTCAGTCCTAACCCCAGATTGCCTTTGACACCAAAACAAACCCCCGAACCCAGACTGCTGAGACTCTGGCCTAAACCTGGACCTCGACCCAGATAATGATTAAGATAATGGCCCCAGGCTGAGCCCTGAGTCCTTCTCCTAGCCCCAGAATCAGGGAGCCTTGGGTAGTAGATGAAAATGTTTCAGGATAGGCTGTCACCACTCCTGGGAACACAGCTATGTGTTATGTGCCACAGACACTATGTATGTGTGTTTGGGGAGGGGTCTCTGTGCCCCAAGACTGGACTGTCATATAAGACAGGTGAAGCATCCTGGACAGCTCCTTCAGAGAGATTCCAAAGGTGGCTGGCACACACCTACTGGCACCTGACCAGGTTACTCACACACGTGTATTTGGGCAGCAGCCCACGGACCCAGGAATGTTTACATAGCCCTGGCCCAGATCTGCAGCTCGGTTACCTGCCCAGGTACACAGGTATGCAATGCATTCTGCAGCCTTCCCTTCTTAGGCTTCTCTGATGTGGGTCAGCTTCTGGGGACACCAGCTCCCACTGGAGCCAATCCACCTTTGCTTTCAGCCCCAGGACTTTCAACTCTTCAGACTTGCTAAGTCTTCCCTGATCTCTTGTCTCCAGCCTGAGGCCCGAAGACTCAGGCCACCTGAGTCTCCTTAGCAACTTATGCTGCCCCCAATCCAATAGGTCTAAAACTTCCCAGGCCCAGGCTAGATAGTACCTAGAGTTTCCAACCTGATCCTTAATTACAATTCCATAGTCCCAATTTGGTTCCTGAACCTCTCCAGGCCTAGAGTTTGGCTTCAGACCTCCCCATTACCCATTTGGAGATTGGCCCCCTTGGTTTTCTAGATTGAATCCATCAGTCCATTCTCAACCAATCAGAAAGCCCCCTGAGTCCTATTGGATTTGGGGGTTCCTTCTCACTATGGACTTCTCCCAGAGGACTTTCAATTCCCAGTTCACTCTTTTTTGGACCAAGGAGGAGGAGGGATCCCAGTCGTGGGATTTTCATCAGTCGAGGGAATTCCTGGTATGAAAACTTCTTCCCCCAAGGCAGAACAGTTGTTTCTGTTCTTCAATTTACAATCTTAGTGACCTGCCCAGGGTAACTTAGCCTATTTGTGCCAGGGGAGGATTTGAACTCAGGTCTTATTAATTTGGACTCCAAGGCTGGCTCTTGATCCTGGCCTATCCTAACGCTGCCTCTAGTTTTTTCCTATCACCTAAAAAAAAAATCAAATAAATTGGGCTCATTTAACTTGATACATGGGTGACCTGCCCCCCCCTTCACAGTTGACTACACTTTTTCTAATAATCTGGGTTATTCCACCCAGATCTGCAGATGGGGCCCAGCCTGGATCTGTCCTGGCTGTGTGACCCTTAGTTAAAGTCTTCAGAGTCTCTGCAGACAAGGTAGTTACACTCGCAGGTTTATGGCTATACATACGTGCCCTGTCCTGGATCCGTGATGTTTTCATGTACGACTGGACATTCCCTGTCCTGTAACTGCAGACTCTAGAGGCACCCACAGGTACCCGGGTACACACACATGCCCCTGTCCTCACCCCCAGCTGTGATGAATCATTCTTGGCATCTTCACATGCTGGGCATCTGCCCAGGAGCATACATGGAAAGGCTGGGGCCAGAACTGTGAGATTATGTAACATGGTCAACTCTTAAATGTCCCTCCATTATGACTTAGTCTGGAGGACAAGTCCTGAACCAGAGGTTCATTTGAAGGAACAGAGAATCCCAAACCATTTTCATTTGGCTTTGCAATTCATGTCTCTGGGTATGTTCTGCCAGGGCTGGGAAACTGAGGCGACTACTTGAGTTACTTTGCATTCCATGAGCAATAGAACTGACGGGTCAGGAGTAGGAGGTGGGGCCTGTGGAGAACCTGACATGGGACTGAGCAGACACTGAGTAAAATGGAAGGGTTAGAGCCAGGTGCTGCCTGGGATTCAGGAGACCTGGGTTCTATACCTAACCCTGATTGTAACTTGTTAAATGGTCTCTAAGCTTCCCCATCTTTAAAGTGGGGTGAGGTTTGGACCAGATGGTCTCTAAGGGCCTTTGCAGCTCTGACGCTCTGGGTTCTAAGGGCCCTCCTAACTCTTGACATTCCCTATTCTAAGGACCCCCCCCCCCAGCCCTGACATCCTGTGTTCTAAGGACCCCCCCCAGCCCTGACATCCTGTGTTCTAAGGACCCTCCCAGCTCTGACATTCAGTGTTCTAAGGGCCCTCTTAGTCCTGACATTCCTTGTTATGAGGGCCCTCCGAACTCTGATATTCCTTGTTCTAAGGACACCCCACCCCAGCCGTAACATCTTGTGTCATAAGGACCCTTTCAACTCTGACATTCCCTGTTCTAAGGACCCTCCCAGCTCTGACATTCTGTGTTCTAGGGACCCTCCCAGTTCTGATATCTCTGTTCTAAGGGCCCTCCCAGCTCTGACATTCTCTGTTCTAAGTTCCCTTCTAACAGGTAGAATTTGTCTATTCACCAAATATCACAGGGCACGCAAATGGAATTGTCCTTACTTCTAGAGTCTGATACATAGTTACGTTCCTTGGATTTTAAGTAAGAGTAGTGTCTAGTAATCATTCCATTTGATCCCTTGAGTAAGATGTCATGAGGTTAGGGAGTGATTCCTTAACTTTTTTCTTTGTCTTTCTACTTTTCTACCTTTTCCCTCCAAAAGGCCCTTAGGTCCTTCAGTTTGCTTGGATAAGCAGAAAGAACAGCTGGGGAGGAGTTTGCTTTCTCTTTGGGTTCTCTTCTTTGCTACCTCACATGGATAATGTGAACGTTCAGAATCTTCTGTAAAGTGATAGAATCCTACCGTATTAATGTTTGAACCCTTGGGTGTGAGCTTAGCTTCTGGCATGTGCTTTCTCCATTTTAATCTTCAAAACTACTTGTGCAATTAAAAATGCCATACAAAAAAAAAAAGGAAAAAAAAATGAACCTTCCAACACTGACATTTTATTCTCTGTACTAAAGATTCTGACATTTTATGTTCTCAGCTCTGACATTCTATGTTCTCAGTTCTCTTCGGACTCTGACATTCTGTTCCCCTTTATTCTACAGCGCTTTCCAGCTCTGACAGTCTATTCTATATGTTTTAAGGTTCTTTCCAGCTTCAACATATTTTCCTTAATGTTCTAAGGTTCCATGAAGCACTGACACTCGGTGATTTCCACAGAGAACTCACATTCAGAATTCTGATTTGACTAGGCTTGGCAGTGTGTAAAGGAGTCTGCCCACATGTGTCCCCACACACGGATATCCCCAGGTCTTGCTTATCTGGGCATTCTGGTCCTCAAACAGGCCTGCCTTTCTTTCCCACTCTGGCTGGATGGCTGCATCATTCCCTGCCCCTGCTTTGTCCAACTTGGCCTCCCCCCACAAGAGCTCAGGCTGTGCCAGGGAGCATGGGTGCTGATAGTGCCAGTCCTGTTGGCATGGGGAAAGAGACTGACTGCCTTTGTCTCCAGGCTAGAGTGCCTCAAGTATAGCACAGTGAAAAAAGAATTAGATTAGATGTCAGAGGAGCTGAGGTCACATCCTAGCTAAGCTACTAAGTCCCCCTCTGATCTTGAGCAAATAAATCACTTTCTCTCTGTGGGCCTCAGTTTCTCCATCTGTCAAGTAAGGGGGCTGGACTTAATGCTTTCTAAGACCTCTTCCACTTTTTAAATCCTCTGGTCCAAGGGGTCAGGAAGTCTGAACCTTAACCAGGTTTGGAGCAAAACTTCAGCTACCTCCCTGCAATGACCCATGGTCCCTTTGGTAGGCATGAGGATGTCAGGGTATGTGGGGGGGGGGTGGTGGAGTTAAGGTATTGCCCCTCAAGCTTGGGGAAACCAGTATCTTCCTTTGGCTACATGTCCCGGAGATCCTGCCTGCCCAGGAACTGCAGGGGTTAAGTTAGACACACGTGTGCACACACAGAGACATACCCACTTAGAGCTAGGGAGAACCGGAAACCCTTTGAGTCAGATTGGGGTGGGGGTGGGGGAACAGAGCCAAGCAAGGTCCCCATACAGAAGAAGACTTGGGAGTCCGGTTTCCCAGCCCTGGCTTGAAGTCATTTTGGTGTAAGTTGGGGGAACTTGTCATTGAACTGGGGTCTGGCCCTAATCTCCTCATTACTGGAGCTTTCCCATCTCCATAGAGACAAGCTCCCCTTTCCTTATCCCCTTTTAGGCTTCAGGGCCTGGTTGCTGGTGGTTGTGGGAGGCTGAAGCTTGTGGCAGCCCAGGCAGGAACTCCAGGACCAGTCACTGGCCAAGCCTGGAGGTGTGGGAGCAGGGAACAAGGAAGGAGAATTGGGGTGAAGGGAGGGGCATTAGTTTGGGTGTGGATAGACTGGCAGAGCCTTAACCCCTCCATGCCTTCTCCTCAGCCTACCAGCACAATACAAGCTTGTGGCAGGGGTCCTCTTGCTTAGTTGACCTACTCAGCCACTCCATTGTGACACCCCCTCCCCACTGCTAAGCTATGAGAACATCAGCCTTCTAATGGGCAATAAGCCCTCTATCTCACCACTTTCCTCCCTCTCCTCCCACTAAATATAGTATATTAGAAAAATCTTTCGGGGCAGCTAGGTAGTGCAGTGAATAGAGCACTGGCTCTGGAGTCAGGAGGACCTGAGTTCAAATGTGACCTCAGACACTCAACACTTACTAGCTGTGTGACCCTGGGCAAGTCACTTAACCCCATTGCCTAGCCAAAAAGAAAAGAAAAAGCTTTGAAATTGGAATAAAAAAACTTGGGTTCAAATCCTGCCTCTTTTGTTCTTGATTACCTTGAGCAAGTGACTTCCCCTCTCTGGGCCTCAGTTTCCTCATCTGTAAAATAAGATGGTTGGATTAAACGACCTCCAAGGTCTCTTCAAGCTCTAAATCTAGGATCCAGCGATCTTCAATAGAATCTGTCAAAGGGTGGGGAAATTTCAGCCATCCCATACCATTGTAGGTTAATATTTTTCACTTTTATTTCCATCTCAACTTTTTTTTTTTAATGTCTCTTTTTACTGAATACATGGACTGGTTTTTTTTTTTCTTTTTGGTGAGGTAATTGGAGTTAAGTGATTTGCCAAGGGTCACATAGAGTAAGTGTCAAGTGTCTGACACTCAGGTGTCTGTCTAGGTCAGTGTCTGACCTAGGTGCCACCTAGCTGTCCTCTGACAGGTTTTGTTTTAATTATCATTGATACATTTCATTTGGGCACAACAAATAGTTCCCAACAAATTCTCAAACAGCCTCTCCCTGTAAGCCCAAAGTAGATTCCCCAAGAACACTATGTCACTTTCCAGTTTTGCCAATTACCTGCAATCAATGAGCTTGGGTGCCATATTGCCTTAGGACTGTGACATCATTTTGTTTGCCTTTGTTGGTGTTGCCATAAGTCATTTTTCATGGAGAGACACTGTGGTGTAGTGAATAGAGAAGAGGGTGGGGCCTTGGAATTTGGAAGCCCTGGGGTTAAGTTTTACATCCGACACATATGAGCTATATGACAGAGGACAAGCTATTAAACTCTCAGAGCTCCCAAGAGGTAATTCAAGGTGATGAAAAGAGCCCTGAATTTACAGAGGACATGGGTTCAGATCCTGGCTATGCTACTTACTGCCTTGTAACCTTGGCTAAGTCCCTTTATCTTACTGGGACTCAGTTTCCTCATCTGTAAAATAAAGGAGTTGGATCGTAAAGGCTTGTTCTTACTCTAAGTCTAGGATCCTAGAAAGTTGCAGGCTAATTACAATTTGCATCAGTGGAGGAAACCTCCAAACTATTACAATCACAGGCCAGACCCCCCAAAAAAAAATCTTGTATTTTGGTGATGGGAAATATTCTTGAAGGGGTAAGAATGGTTGAGTTGAAAGTGATCAGAGTGGAAGTTTGGATCCATTTTCTGGTCTTAACTCTTCTTATATGTGTGGCTATGGACATGTTCCTGAGTCTTTGTCAAATGGAGATGATAATCTTTGTGCTATCTACTACACAGGGTTGTTGTGAGACATTTATATTTCACTGTACAATTCATTCATTCATTCTATGATTATTTACTAAATATCTGCTATATGAAAGGTACCGTAAGATATCTAGATAGTATAGTGGATAGAGAATTGGACCTGGAGTCAGGAAGTACTGAATTAAAATCTGGCCTTACTAGATGTGTGACTTTGGGCAAGTCATTTTAACTTCTGTCCATCTTAGTTTTCTATTTTGTAAAATGAGGATAATATAGCACCTACCTTGCTAGTTTGTTATGAGGATAAAATGAGATAATATTTGTGGAGTGCTTTGCAAACCTTAAAGTGATCTATAAATGCAGGCTATTGTTAGTATTATTACTGTGTTGGATATGCAAAAAAAAATGCAATAATCCCTGCTTTCAAGGAGTTTACATTCTTTTAGGGGAAATATGTATGAATATAAGTACATATATACAGAATAAATACTGGATATGCAAAATAACTACTTGTATTTATTTTTTTTTTGGGTGGGGGGCCTAGCTTGGTGAGATTAGGAAAGGCTTTGTGTAGAATGTGATGTTCAAGCTTCATCTTGTAAGAAGTTAGTGATTCAGTGAAGCCGAAGTGAGGAGGGCTGGCATTACAAACATGGCAGAGAGCCTGTACAAAGTTAGAGGTGGGAGATGGATCACTTTGTTTGAGAAACGGAAGACCAGTTTACCTGACCCATACAATACAGTGTGGGAAGGGGGGGAAATGTATAACGAGACTGTAAAAATAGATTGGGGCCAAGTTTTGAAGGTCTTTAAGAACCAAACAGAGGAGTTTCTAGCTGATCCTAGAGGTAGTTGGGAGCCATTGGAGTGGACGTGACATCAGATTTGTGCTTAAAGAAGATCACTTTGGCACTGGTAACAGCAAGTAGGCCAGTCTGGCTGGAACAGAGAGTACATGAAGGGAAATAATGTGCAATATGTCTGGAAAAGTAGGCTGGAACCAGATGATGAAGGGCATTAAATGGCAAATGGAGAAGTTAGTATTTTATCTTGAAGGCAAGAGGGAGTCATTGGACCTTCTTAAGAAGGGGAGTGACATGGTCAGATCTGTGCTTTAAGAATATCATTAGCTGTGTGGATGGATTGGAGAAGGGGAAGGATGAAGGCAGGGGGACCAATTAGGAGGCTGTTGCAGTAGGCCAGGCAAGAGGTGATGAAAGCTTGAACTAGACTGGTGGCCATGTAAGGGGGAGGGGGTGTAGATGTAAGAGATGTTTAGGGGGAGGGTTCAATTTCAACTGATATTACTTGGCAAGTCTTGTGGGGAGGGGAGGCAAGAGAGGATGAAGAATAAAAGGTGTCTCCACAGTATTGTGAACCCAGGGGACTAGAAAGATGGCAATGCCCTCCTCAGAAACAGGGAATTGAGGAATGGGAGAGGGTTTGAAGGAGAAGTATACAAAGCTGGGTCTAGAATATCGAAGGAAATAACGAACAAAAAAATAACAGTGAGGGGACCCAGCTCTTCCAGATCTCAAACTATTACAAAGCAGTGATCCTCAAAGCAGTTTGGTAGTGATTTTTAAAAAATGTCGATTAGTGGAAGACTAGATAAGCAAGAAACAGAAACAATCAAACTGAGTAATCCAGACTCTAATAAACCTGAGAACATAGGACTTAGAAATTAGGACATAGGAATTAGACGTGGAAGGGATGTTCTGGACTCTAGAACATCTAGAATCTATCAGTCAAACCCACTCATTTTACAGATAAAGAAACTTAGGCTTAAGATGTTAGGGGACTTGCCCAAGGTGATGCAGCTCTAGCTCTAACTCTGTCTACCTCAATGGCAGGATTCAAATTTAAATCTCTTGACTCCAGGTCCAATATTCTTTTAAAAGATACCACTTGTGAATAGTAGAGGTTAATTTTTAGTAAGCCTTCACTTTTTATTCTTCTAACACTTCACATTTGAATAGGAAGGCAGTTAGGTGGTGCAGTGGATAGAGTGCCAGGCCTGGAGTCAGGAACGCCTGAGTTCAAATGCAGCCTCAGACACTTACTGGCTGTATGACCCTGGGCAAGTCACTTAACCCTATTTCCTCATCTGTAAAATCAGCCGGAGAAGGAAATGGCAAACCGCTCCAGTATCTTTGCCAAGAAAACCCCCAAAGGGTCACAAAGAGTCGGGCGTGACTGAAAACAACTAAAGGACAAGATGTCGATCGTAGCTCTGAGGTTGGAAGGGACCTCAATGGCCATCTCCATTTTTTACAGATAAGGGGGACTGAGACCCAGCAAGATAAAGTGATTTACTTTTCAAATCAGAGGCAGAATTTGAACCCAGAGTTAGTGCTTTTTTCCCCTGAACCACATTCTCTCTGTCCTCCTCAAAGTCCTGGGAGGTTGACAGTACAATGATCATTATCTCCATTTACAGAGAAGCAGATTGAAACTCAGAAAGATGAAGACGACTTGCCCAGGGTTACAAAGACCAGAACCAAGATCTGAATCCAGGTTTCCCGTCTCCATATCTAGTGCTCTGCCATAGTCCTTGGCCCCAGTGATCCTTTTCTTTCTCTTTTCCCAGACAAGCTGTTTGGGAAGCGGCTGCTACAGGCAGGACGATATATCATGTCCCACAAATCATGGATGAAGACGGTGCCCACCGAGAACTGTGATGTCCTCATGACCTTCCCAGGTATCCTAGACCTGCACTTCCCCTGTATTCTTCCAATCCCTCGACCTAACTTCTGGGAACGCCTGATTCCTCAGGGAGGGAGAGCAGGGGCCTGGACCCTGCAGGTGTTGGGGAGGTGGGTAGCACAGAGGCTCTGAGGCCTGGGACCCAAAGACTCTCCAAGAGACAGTCACCACAGTGCCCATGTACAAGGAACTCATTCTGCTTCCTCTGTCTCCACCCCATCCTCAGACACGACTGACGACCACACCCTACTGTGGCTTCTGAATCACATCCGTGTGGGTATCCCTGAACTCATAGTACAAGTCCGGCACCATCGGCACACGAGGACCTACGGCTTCTTTCTCACTGCCACCTATGAGAGGCAGGTTCAGGCTCTGGGCCTCCCAGTACCCTGCCCCACTCCTGCTGAAGCCAGAGCCCAGCTTCCTCCTCCGTCCTTCTCTCCTTCCTTGCAGCTCTGCCCCACCCCAGCTCTGGACTCCCTCCCCAAGCATCTTTTCCCCTAGTTCTGGGCTCCGGCCTTGTGAATTCTTCCTCCCCCAGCTCTGGGCCCCTTCTCCATCCACTGCCTCCCTCATAGCTTTGGGGTTCCGTCTATCTCTCCTACTCCCTCTACCTCTGGGACCCCTCCCTGTGCATATCCCCGCCCCTCTAGCTGTGGGATTGATCCCCATGCATCTTTCCACCACCAGCTCTGAGTCCCCTCCCCAGGGTTCCTCACCATCTACTCCCTCCCAGCTGTGGGTTCCCTCCCCATACATTTCCCCCCACCCCAGCTTTGGGTCCCTCCTCCTTCCCCGGTCCCTCCATTCTCTCCTCCGAAGCCCGCCCCCTCAGAGGCTAGTTGCGTTGGGGGAGGGAACATCAGGGCGTGGATTGGGTCTGTGACCCCCCTCCTCCCCCCAGCCTGCTCCGTGGGGCTGATGAGCTGGGGCTGCGGAAAGCCGTGAAGGCCGAGTTCGGCGGCGGCACTAGGGGCTTCTCTTGCGAGGAGGACTTCATCTACGAGAACGTGGAGAGTGAGCTCCGCTTCTTCACCTCCCAGGTGCGCCGTTCCCTCCGGCCCCACGGGCTGGCCAGGGCAGCCCTTCTCTCCCCCTCCACTGACAGCCCTGATGAGGGCCCAGAGGCACTCCATCCTCCCATCTTTCCCCCGCAGGAGCGGCAGAGCATCATTCGCTTCTGGCTGGAGAACCTGCGGGCCAAGGCCGGGGAGGCGCTGCACAACGTGCGCTTCTTGGAGGACCAGCCCATCAGTGAGTGAGCCTGAGGGGAGGGGTCTGGGGGGCGGTGGGGCGGGGCCAAGAGCCAGCCCAGCCAATCAGTGACCCTGCTGGAGAGGTGGGGTCGCAGGAGTGGGGCTGAGAGGACCTGCCCCTCCTGAGGGTAAGGGCCTCATGGGAGGGGCCGAGAGAGCCCCACCAGCCCATCAGCCCCTCCCGCTGTGGGGCAGGTTGGGGGGGCGGGGGCGGAGCTATGAGAACTACCACAAGCCGAGGTGTAGTAAGATCTCGTTTGGAAAACCTGCAAATGAGTGAGCAGGTCAAAGGAGGGGCCTAGAGAGAGGCCCTCCCTAAAAGAAGTGCGTTACAGGGAACCCTTAGAAGTTTTGGGAGTTGCCCTAGAGAGGAAGTGGTGGAGCGGGACAAAGAGCCCAGCGTTGAGTCAGAAGACCTGGATTCTCTTCTGATTTCTATCCTCATTCCTGTCACCTTGGATAAGTCACTTCCTCTCTCCTGTCCTCAGTTTCCTAATCTATAAAATAGGGAGAATTATCCTTTGCCACTTCACCAGGTATTATAACTGGGAAAACTCCTTAGTGCAGGCAGTTATTATTATATACCATAATTATGGCACCCATTAATGAATAATTATTTTGCTTGGATCAGAATTATCACTAATTGCTGAAAGTAAGTATTCTAGTAACATAATTATATTGACAATTAACATACTTTGGCAATAATAAATATAGTCATGATAATAATAATATAGAGATTAGACAGGACTGGGAGCCTAAGGCCCTGACAGCCTGGGCAGTAAGATTCTCTCTCTTTGTCTCTGTCTATGCCTCAGTCTCTCCCCTTGTCTTTAAAACACGTGTGTGGAGTGCATCTGAAAAGTGCCCAAAGGCCTATATTTCTCATTGTAAAAATTATTTCAGGTCCCACCCACACATAAGTATAAACTCATATATAGGTCAGAAAGTTGTATGATTTTGAGCTGGGAAGGCCCTTGGGACTCAGAATGTCAAAACTGGAAGGAATCTAAGGAAACATCTAGTCCAGTCTCTTCATTTTACAGATGAAGGAACAGGCTTATTCACATTAAGTGTCCCATAGATAGTAAATAGAAAAAGGGGTCTGAACCCAGGTTTCCTGATCAAAAAGCCACACATGCTCGTAGTGCATGCCTACTAACCTATTTTGAGGCAGAACTCTGAGAATCTTGTTCTCCCAGAGTATCTCCAGGCTTGGGAAATGGGTTGGAGAGGTGTGAATTGTGTTTGTAGCTTGAAAGTTATGGGCCTTTCAAGGACAACTGCAGCTACACTGTAGATCTGTAGGTCTGTAGATCCCTGTGTCGCTGTCTGTGGTGCTGACCAAGGAAAGGGAAAGCTCAATCCTCTGGAGGAAACCTTGAATGACATGGGTGAATGGGGGAGGGGGGAGTGGTTCACTGAGATTATGGGGATGCCTCAGCCAAAGCCCCAGCCTGGATCATGGCTATTTGGGGACAAATGAGTCTGTCAGCAAAGGGTCAGGCTCTACAGAACTCAGAGAGCCCACCCCTTCTTTTCCTTTCCCTTCTTTTCTCAACCCTGCCTCACCTTTATCCTCACAACCACTCAAAAATGAAGGGAGTATTGTTCCCATTTAGAAAATCAGAAAATAGGGCCCAGAGTAAAGAGGGGACTTAACCAAGGTCATCCTTAGAGTTGGTAACTGAGGCATGGCTGTCAAGGACTAGATTTGAGTTCCTTGACCTCCCCACCCTAACAAGCCTCCGTCTTCCTTCCCCAGTTCCAGAGTTGGCTGCCCGTGGGATCATCCAGCAGGTGTTTCCTGTACATGAGCAGAGGATTCTTAACCAGCTCATGAAGTCCTGGGTGCAGGCTGTATGTGAGAACCAGCCCCTTGGTAAGGTGGGGTCTTGGACCCTCCCCTTCCCCCTGTGGTCATTGGTCCTTCCCCATCCATCTAGAAGAAAGCATGGCCCCTCTCCTCTTTGTCTCATTTGGACATGTCCCCACCTAGCTTTAGCCCTCTCTCCTTGCCCAGAAGTAGCCCAGGAGAGACCACTGAGAAGGGGGAGATGCCCTGGGCTTGGGCAAGGAGCAAAGAGGAACTGGTCTCAAATCTTCCCTCACACCATAAGAAGCTTTTTCCTTCTAGTGCACAGATGTAGCCCCTCCTCTTTCTTGTTCAGCGTCACTCCCCCCTCCGCCCCCACTCCCCATTCAGACATATCCCTCTCTCACTGTTCAAGAGTAGCCCCTTCCTCCAGTCCCAAAGGGAGACCCTGGGGAGGGCAAGGAGGGAATGTCTTAGGCCTTATCATCTGGCCCCAGGCCAAAAGCCTGCTTCTCTCAATCCCAGATGAGATTTGTGACTACTTTGGGGTGAAGATTGCTATGTATTTTGCCTGGCTGGGTTTCTATACCTCTGCCATGGTCTACCCAGCTGTGTTCGGCTCTGTGCTCTATACCTTCACTGAGGCTGACCAGGTGAGCCTTCTCTGGGAAGACATGGATATCCCAGGACACACCTGGGGAGATTTACCCAGTAGTCAGGGAGATCTGGAGACACAGGTCCCCAGAGAGATATGATGCTTGGAGGATGGGGAGAACTGAGGAGACTCAGTGAGACTTGGAGAGATTTGGAAACACCCAAGGAGACTTGTCAACACCTTGGAAGATCTGGAAGACTTAGGCCATGGGACAATGCAAGAAGTCATAAGGGACAGTGGTCCAGGGAGCCTGGGATTGGGTTATTACAGAAAGATGATGGGAGAAGGGACAACATAGGGAGAGCACATGGGGGGTGGTGTGGGGCATAGGAGGAAGATTCACTTTTGGGCTTTGCGCAGTATCTGGTACATAGGAGGCACTTAATAAATGTTTATTGATTGATTGATTGGCTATGAAGTTAGAGATAGAAGTTGCTCAGGCTGGGATGTCCTTGCCTCGTCCTTTTCCTTCCATTGTCCCTCTGGATTCCCCCAGACCAGCCGGGACATCTGCTGTGTAATCTTTGCCATCTTCAATGTGATCTGGTCTACACTGTTTCTGGAGGAGTGGAAGCGCCGTGGGGCTGAGTTTGCCTACAAGTGGGGGACCTTGGACACCCCTGGAGAAGCCATTGAGGAGCCCCGGCCCCAGTTCAGGGTGAGTCGCCCACCCTCCCTCCATCCCTATTCTGCTGGGATCACAAGTCTCCCCTGAGACCTGGACCCCATCCTAGGCACTTGTGGAAATGGGGGCAAGTCCTGCCTTGCCCTTAGGGGGCTGGGTGGGGACACTGGAGATTAGACCTCCTGGTCACTGGGAGGAAAATGTGCATGAAGACCAAGGGGAGAGTACTGGGGATGTGAGCAGTAGGGAGACTGCCTGGAGGTGCTGGAGATGGGCAGGGGAGGGGCATTTCAGGGATTCCTATCAGGACCAAGACTCATCCAGTTTAGTGTGGTTGGAGAGGCAGGAGCCATCCCCTCCCCGGGCCCCAGGTTCCTCATGGAAAATGAAGTGGCTTGTCTCTAAGATGGTCCTGAAGGTATCTTCCGACTCTAAACCCTCTGGTCCTAGGCTGGACAGCAGAGAGCCTTGAATACCAGTCTGTTTACTTTCTCCTTAGCATGAGGGTGCCCTTGGGAGCTATAGAAGGTACCTGAGCAGGCGGACCAGTGCTGGGCTCAACACTGCCTCCCTCTACAGGGTGTCCGGCGGATCAGTCCCGTGACCAATGCAGAGGAGTTTTATTACCCACCATGGAAGCGCTTGCTCTTCCAGCTGCTGGTTAGCCTGCCAGTGTGTGCCACCTGCCTCATCGGAGGCTTCCTACTCATGCTGGGCTGCTTCCAGCTGCAGGTGAGATGCCTTTCCGCCTCCCCCTCCCCCAGACCAGGAGCCAGGGACCCACCTCAGCCCCAAGCAGATCCCTGACCCCAACCCCAGGCTGGCTCGAGGACCATGGTTCCAAGCTGAGCCCTGCACCTAGCCCCACACTGAATCCAGGTCTCCAGCCTCGGGCTAGACCCAGGCAGAGCCCTGATGCCAACTCCGAGCTGCAAACAGCCTGAGCCCCACCCCTCTCCACCCTCAGTCCTGGCCTGACCCCTTTATTCCCCGCCTGGCAGGAGCTGGTGCTCAGTGTGAAGGGGCTGCCACGCCTTGTCTGCTTCCTGCCCAAGATTGGCTTGGCCCTCTTGGTCAGTGCCTGTGCCGAGGCCTACAAGAAGCTTGCCTACTGGCTTAATGACATGGGTATGCAAGGGACCCTACCCTGCCCAGAGACACTAGACTCCAGGCCTCAGGGATAAGGTCACCACCCTGCCCCTCAGAGATCTCGGGGGTGGGAGAGGTGGGGAAAGTGTGGCTGCTGGGAATGTTGGTTGCCATGTCCTCTGATGCTAGCCAGCTAGAAAGAGTAGGGAAGAGCATTAAGGATGTGCCTTGGGGTAGCCTTGTGACCCAGAGTTGTCACTGCCCGGGCCCTTTGGTGTTCTCTGTGCTTAAAACCTCAGGCAGCTCACAGCCTCGACCAGCACACAAGACCTTACCAAGAACACACAAAACAGAGATGCCAGGGAAAGCCACCCATTAAATACTGGGCCTCTAGAATCTCATTGGTTCCACAGAGGTCTAAACTTTGCCTTCCTACCCAGGCAATCAGCAGTTCCTAGCCAGTTTGGAAACATTAGCCCTGAGACTCTGGGTCTCTTTTACCTATAGCCTACAAGTAATCTCTTAGTGGGAGAATAGCAGATGTGTCTGTCCCCCCCCCCCCCGCCCCCGCCACCGTCCCAGTGCTTTTGACAGCAGCTGCTGCCCTCTTATCCTCACAGCTCAACTACTCAGCCTCTGACTGTATTAATTGCATGGGGGGGGGGGGTGTATATATCCCTCTGGGGACCATCCAAGACCCCAACCAACTCCCCCAGCCCCGACAACTCTGCCCCACCTCACACCTCTCCTTTTGACAGAGAACTACCGTCTACAGAGTGCCTATGAGAAACACCTCATCGTCAAGATTGTTTTGGTGAGTGAGGGGTTTTGTCTGTGCCACTGGGGCCAGGTTCCAGCCCTGAGGGCTCCAAAGCCAGGGACTTTCTCTAGAGCTTTCTGACCCAAACGTCTCAGTTCCCACGTAATCAGCTGAGCCAGTCACTATCCCCAAATTGGAATGTGCCCAGCCCCCGGTGCTCTAGATACCTTGTTGGGTTATGTTGTTGGGCCCCTGTCTCAAGCAGAAGGTTTGGTGCCTCCCCCTGCTGTGATCCTGGGTGGTCTGTTCAGTGCCTGCTACACTGTTGGGGAGACAGGGAAGAGGGGAGGAAGGGCTGGCTATTTAAATCCAAAGTTCAGTTTCTACTGGCCATAGGAGCTTGGTGGAGAAGGACATCGCTGTGGGCTGGAGTCAGTCAGGGAGCACTTACTAGTGGGTGGGCCCAGAAGGATGGCTAGGGTTTTGAGTAGAGAAACTGGGGAGGATGTTCTAGAGTGAGGGAAGAAGGGAGGGAGCCTCGAGCTTGCTGAGGCTGGCAAGGGGCCTGGCTTGGCTGGGGTGGGATGTCCTTGCTTCCCTCAAGGTCCTGGGCTCCCCAGACTCAGCCCAGCCCCTCAGCCCCCTCTCTCCCACCCTACCCTCCACCCCAGTTCCAGTTTGTAAATTCGTACCTGAGTCTTTTCTACATCGGTTTCTACCTCAAGGACATGGAGAGGCTGAAGGAGGTAAGAGACCCGAACCCCATGACCTTGGCCTGAACTTTGGGCCTTCTGGCTCCCAATTGGGCTCCAAACCCTGGCCCTTCTCCCCTGACCCCACCCCTGGCCCTCAGCCCCCAAGCCTCTCTCTGGCAGATGGAACAAGGAAGCCAGGGAGCCGGGAGCCAGGGCAAGCCCATGACCCACCTTGTGGCCACACCTACTCCAGTCCTCCATCACCCTCATCCCTTCCATCCCCCCTCCCTGTTTCCTAGTCACTCCTCTCCTCTCCCCTCTCCCAGTGACTTCCTGAGCCCTTCCTCTCCTCTCTGCCTGTTTCTCTCTCTGTCTGTCTCTCTGTCTGTTCTGCCATCCGTCCTGTCCCTATGTCCGTCCCTCCACAGCTCCTGCTCATCCTCTCTCTCTCCCAAAGCCTGGAGCGCCAGCTCCGCGCGGCTGTCGTCCCCTATGCTGCCCTTCGTCTCCAGCTTCTCCTCTTCTCCTTCCAGGGCCTCCTGGCTCTGGCCAAGGCCAGAGTATGGGCTGGCGTAGGTGGGGTCATGCTGAGGGTGTGGCCAGCAAGGCCAGCGATGGGGATGGGCAGGGACCAAGTGTGGGGCTGGGAGCTAGGCCTAGAAGGAGGGGGCGTGGAGATGGGGGAGGCTAAGTGCCCAGAAGTCCACTGAAATGCTCACCAAATACCTGGGACTTGGCTATGCTGAAGGCCAGGCCCTTGGGTAAAGGAGGGATGGGATCAGCGCGGTTTCCTAAACCATTTTTTAACTTAACACTCCCTGGGAAAGCAGGAGCACCCTTAGAACCTAGACTGTCAGGGGCTCAGATACAGAGATCATCTCCTCCAGCATTTGTGTGGGTAAGCTGAGGCTCAGAACGGGGAAATGATTTGGCCAGTCACACAGGGAATTAGAGGGAGGGTGAGCCAATGACTGGAGAGGTTGACCGTTATGCCTGAAGTCACACTAGTGAACGGTGCTAGGTCCCCTTCCCCTTCCCACCCGTCCCCTCTTCCTTCCCCAGCACTCTCCCAACGCTGCCTCTTTCTCCCCCAGATGTTAGCCACCCTACTTATCACCCGTCAGTTCCTGCAGAATGTCCGGGAGGTACTACAGCCGCACCTGTACCGCCGGCTGACCAGTGGGGACCTGAGCGCCCGCACCCTCTGGGAGTTCTCCAGGACTTTCCTGCAGCTGCTCACTCACAGGCCTCCTGTCCCAGAGGCCCGGCCCCAAGAGCCACTGGCGGGGCCTCCTGAGCCCAGGGCCCAGGAGGGCAGTGGCAGTGGGGGCCGGAAGTGCCTCAATGGGGGCTGTGGGGTCCCTGAGGAGGAGGAGGAAGAGCGGCGGAGGAGGGCTGGGGAGGGTGGGGAAGGGGCGGGCAGGGGGGGGGGGGGGGAGGATGAGGAGGAGGACGACGAGGAGGACGATGAGGAGGAAGATGATGAGGAAGAAAGCCTTCTGGACTGCAGCCTAAAGCTAAGGAAGGTGAGTTTTGCTGAGCGGGCCGAGCGGCAGCGACGGGCAGGCCCGACCGGTCCCGAGAACTTCCTGGAAGAGGGTAGCCCGACCATGGTAGACAAGGGCCTGGACCCCGCAGCCGTGTTTGCCTTGTGCGAGGATGAAGAGGATGCCGAGGGGCCTTCGGACAGTCCTGGCCGGGAGCCCCTGGAAGCACCTGGGGGCCCGCGTGGGGAACGGCCCGGTGGTGAGGGTCAGGACCAGGGTCCTGGTGATGATGAGGCCGAGGCCTCGGGCCCTGGGGAGGACAGACGGCGAAAGCAGAACCGCACGTCCTGGATCGACCCACCTGAGGAAGATTACTCCCCCCAGCTGACCCAGGCTGAGCTGGAGAGCTGCATGAAAAAATACGAGGTGAGTCCTGGGGAAGGGGCCTGCACCTGACCTTCAGACAGCCCCCAGGCAGGAAGAGCCCTTGACCCCTGAGGGAACTGACCAGAACCCAGGTACTCAGGAAAGACATCCTAAGCTACATGGAGCAGGAAGGCCTGGGGGCCTTCTGAGAGGGATGAGGAGCTGGGTGTCAGCTGGGATAATCCTGGGCTGAAGGACATAGCTGGTTCTGACATGGATTCGCTCTGTGAACTTGGGCAAGTAAATCCCTGCCCTTCTCTGACCCCTGGTGTCTAAGGATGCACAGTGGAAAGAGCGCCAGGCCTGGAGTCAGGAAGACTCATCTTCCTGAGCTCCAGTCTGGCTTCGGACACTTGCTAGCTGGGTGACCCTGGGCAAGTCACTTCACCCTTGTTTGCCTCAGTTTCCTTATCTATAAAATGAGCTGATGAAGGAAATGGCAAACCCCTCCAGTGTCTCTGCCAAGAAAACCCCAAATGGAGTCACAAAGAGTCAGACACGACTGAAACAACTGAACAACAAAAACAAAGGCTATCCCCGCAACCCCCCCCACCCCCGTGCTGACAGCCTGTGTTCCATGTTCTTAATGGACTCTGTTCTGCCCTAACAGGCAGAGGAGAGGGCTAGGCGGGAAGGGGGCAGGAGCACCAGGGTGTGTGTTGAAGCCCCACCTCCATCCCCCAGGACCCTTTCCAGGACTACCAGGAGATGTTTGTACAGTTTGGCTACGTGGTGCTCTTCTCTTCAGCCTTTCCCCTGGCTGCCCTCTGTGCCCTGGTCAACAACCTCATCGAGATCCGCAGCGATGCCTTCAAGCTGTGCACGGGCCTCCAGCGGCCTTTCGGACAGCGTGTTGATAGCATCGGGCAGTGGCAGGTGATACACACAGGCAGAGCCCACGGTCAGGACCTGGAAGGACATCCATGGCTAGGCCCAGCCACGGAGCTTAGTGAGGGGGATGAGCAGTCAGGGGTGGGGAGTGGGGAGTAAGGTGGTCTCTCTGAAGGGGATGAGGGCTCAGAGGAATCGGAGGGACCACGGGGATGGGGATTTACTGAGAACTCACTGACAGACGTGGGACTCAGGGAGAAGGGCCCAGGAAAATGGGAGGAAGGGATCCAGGCCAGCCCTGATAAATTTGGGAATCCCTTCTGCCTGGGGTGACACTTCTCCCCATCTCCTTGACCCTGCAGAAGGTGATGGAGGCCATGGGCATCCTGGCCATTGTGGTGAACTGCTACCTGATTGGTCAGTGCGGACAACTTCAACGCCTCTTTCCGTGGCTGAGCCCAGAGGCCGCCATTATCTCTGTAGTAGTGCTGGAGGTACAGTGGCTAACCCTGGCTATGGGCAGTCTTGACACCCTCCCTGGAGACAGGGGTTGGGGGAGGGGGCAGCCCTTCAACTCTGCAGGTCTTCTCCTCTGGCTCATGGCATCCATGCCCAGCCCAGCCCAGGCCAGCTTTGTTTCTGTACTGTGCTTGACGGCTCGGGCCAATCTTTGTGTTAGGGAGAGCCCTGGGTCGCTCAGGGACTCCTTCACACTCACATCTCTGTCTCCCCCTGGTTCCCAGCACTTTGCTCTGTTTCTGAAGTACCTCATCCAGGCGGCCATCCCGGACATCCCTGCCTGGGTAGCTGAGGAGATGGCCAAGCTGGAGCACCAGCGGCGAGAGGCCTTCAAGGTGAGACGATCTCCAGCTCTGGTTCTTTCTGGCCCTGGTCTGATGCAACCCCCATCCCTTCCTATTCTCACCCTCCAGAGTGAGACACCCCAACCCATCCATGACCAGGATTTGTGCCCCACCCAGCCTCAGCTCCCCTTGTGGTTGGAGCCTAAAGGATTCACTCCTCCCGATGCCAGGTCCCTCCCAGTGATTCCCCAAACCTCTCCAATCCATCTTCCTCATTCCTGAATGTCCTGGTGTCTGCTCCCATCTATCATTCCTCATCTTTCCCAGTACTCTATTCTCTGGTCACCCTCCCAGTCTCCCTTACTGACCCTCATACTCAGTCCCCCAAAAGCCACTTTCCCCTCGATTTCTCACCTCCCAACTCTGAACACCTGGCTCTCTCTCATCAATCCCCCCCTCATATTTGGTCTTTCCAGTTGGACATCCACTCAATTCCTCAACTCTCCCGAATCCTGTCCCATGGATGCCCTTTCTCCTACTAACACATGGTTGTACCCCTATACCTCTTCCTCGCCTAATGCTTCAGACATTCTAGTTCTACCCCCTTGACCTCTGATTACTTGTCTCTCATACTTGTCTCCTAATGCCTGGTTTCCCTAGAACATCATCCCATTTCCCACCCATCCCTCCTCTTATTTGGACCTCATATGCCCAGCCTTACCCCCTGACTCCCACTCATACCCCTGGCTATCCCTAGAAACATGAGCGCCAGGCTCAGCACCACTACCAGCAGCAGCAACGGCGAAGGCGGGAGGAGGAAGAGCGGCAAAGACACGCGGAGCACCACGCACGACGGGAACGTGAGACTGGGCGTGAGGAAGGCCAGGCTGAGGGCAGCGGTCCAGATCTTGCCCCTGAGAAGGCACCTGTCAAGGCCAAGGGTGGGCCCGGCCCAGATCGGCCCAAGAGGCCAGGCTCCCTGCTCGCCCCCAACAATGTCATGAAACTCAAGCACATGATCCCCCTCCAGGGGAAGTTTCTGTCCTCATCCTCTTCGTCATCCTCATCCTCTGCAGGGGGTGCCGGCCCAGCTACCCGTCAGCCGCAGGCACCCTCCCCCACGGGAGAAAACCGCCTGCCTGCCTTTCTCAGCTTTAAGTTTCTCAAGTCACCAGAAGCCAAGCGAGAACAAGAGCGAAGCCACTCGCCTCCCAAGCCCTTCCATGCCGGCAAGCTCTTCCCCTTTGGGGGCCGGGCAGAGTCCACCACTGCATCTAACGGGGCAGGCGGGGGGCAGGTGCGACCCGACAGCGCTCCCAGCAAGGCCCAGCGTCCCGGGCTGGCAGATGAGGCCGGTGGGGAGGAGCCTGATGCCCGTGCAGAGGACGAAGGCTCAGGTCATAAGCTTTAACTTGGGGTGGGGTGGGGTGGGGACCTAGGGACACCTGGGTCCCAGTTAGAAGAGGATTGAGGGGCAGATGCAAGGACAAATGGGGCCTGGCTGGGGAGGGAAAAAGCCATAGGTTCCCTCCTCTTACTGCATTTGACCCCTGGAGATGAGAGGGTATGGGAGCTAAGGGCTGCCCCCAATCCCCTTGGGTATGGGCAACTCCTTGGACCCAGGGCCCCCCAGGAGGGACAAAGGCACTTACTGCCTCTTCCTTCTGTTTTTCCTCAGTCTCTGTGTTAGAACCTCTGGGTACTAGAGACAACACAAGGGTGGCCTGAATAGCACCCCCTCTCCATTTCCAGCCCTGCCCTCCTAGGACAGGCCACCCCTGCATGGCTGACCTGCCCACCTCCATGGCCTTCCCTCCCCCCTGCCTCTATGCAAACCCCCGTGCCCCCAGCTCCTTAGCTGGGCTGGCCCAGGGACCTGTCCTCTGGGAGGAGACCTTAATCAGGGAGAAGGGGCTAGTTGGGAGTGGTCAGTCAGTCAACAACTAAGTATTTAGACCCAAGAGCTAAGCTGGGGGGCTGGGTCCCCGTCCTCAACAAAGGGTCAGTCCCAAGACAGCGGTCCTCTCCGTGGGGGAGAGACCACAGCTGCAGTCCCAGGCTTGTTCCAGAGAAGCTCAGCCCAGCCAGGCCATGGGCAGGAACAGAGGGATTCCCTCCCTAGGACCCTGCACCCCTTCCCTCCCTGGGTGACCAGAAGAGGGGGATTTTCACCTTAGTGCTTTTTGATTTGACACCACCACTCCCTCCCACCCTGCCCAGCAAAGCCTGAGCCAGAGTGAGAAGTGGGCATCAGGCCTGCGGCAAGAGACGGGAACCTTCCCTCCTCCCACCCCCACCCCCAATCTGGGAGGGGTTAGGAGCTTAGAGGCGTGGGCTGGACCTGATGAGCTTTCCCCTGCCATCCCTCTCCCCCCTGAGCCATTGTCTAGAAGCAATAAAGCCTTCCTTGGGGGTAAGGGCAGGCCCCAAACCCACCCTGGCCCAGCTCCTCTGTGCTTGGTGCCAACATGGGGGCACAGGGCAGTGGGCAGCACTGGGTGGGGGTGGGCCCAGACTAGACTGTTTCTGGTTCATGGAAGAGATAAGTAGCTGAGAGATCGATACCAAGGGAATCCCCTAAGGACACTCCACTCCTCACCCCAGACTGGGGAATGCCAATTTGTGCCCAGGGGCAGCCCAAAGGCTTGAAAGCCTGTCTGAAGCCAGTGTGAAGCAGGGGCAGTGCCAGCGAGGCCCGAGTCCTCTTAGTCTAGCCCCTACGGGCACTGCACTGGAACTGCCCCCTCTCCCCTTCCGCAGGGACAGCGCAACCAGCTTCTGGTGTCCCCTCCCGTGCCCACCGCCGGAGCCCTGCACCACCACGCTGCTCCTGTCCACCGTCACCCAATACGCCCCCGCCCACAGGCTGCTGGCAATGGGAGGGCCCCTGGAGTTGTGGGGGTGAGGGGAGTGCCACTAGAGGGGGCCATGGAGCTGAGTGCCCACCCTGTGCCCGGGCCCCGGGGAGCCCTGCCTGGGTCCCTGCCCCACTCCCTGCACCCCCTGCTCAGGGTGATGCCAGCTTCTCCAGCCCCCCACTCCCAGGGCCCTGCCCTCTGCCTCCAGATGACAGCCCCAGCCCAAGCCCCAGCCCCCAAGCCATCTGCTGGCCAGCTGGGTGGCACTAACCAGCCCCACCTCTTTCCCACTCTACCCTCCACTCCTGAAGCCCTGGGCTTTCCTTCATTCACATATGCAATATGAGTTATAATGCAAGGAGCTGAGGCTGACCACGACTGACGATGGCCAGCCTGTCCTCTCCAGGCCACGGGAGGGAGTGGAGAGGGTTAGGATGTGTCTGGTTTGGTGAAAGCCAGCCTAGCCTGGCCTGGCAAGTGGACTGGGGGGTCAGGATCCACCAGTCCCAGTATGTTTACTCCCCAGCCACTCCCTATGGCTCTGAGGGTTGGCCACTGATCAGAGGCGAAGAGGAAAAGGCAAGTTTTTTGCCGTCTTCTTTCTTTCAATCCGGAAGGAAATACCTAATGGGGATTATTTTGATTTCTTCTTAATTTATTTTGTCATATTTTTGTAAACTTTGCAGAAATGCAATAAAAATATATTTCAACAAACCTGTCTGGTGGGAAAATGCTAAGTGGAATGATGACTCTTGGGGCACCCTGAGACCTGCTTCCCTCCCTTTAACACCCAGGTTGGGTCACTCTTACCCTCAGACCAGGAACATTTCTTCCCAACCTCCACATTCAGGCATGGACAACCCAAACTCCCTCCAACACTGTCTCCCCCAATGGCTGGATTCTCTTCATGGCTCTGCCCAAGAGGTTTGGGATCAGGGAGTCAGCCCAGAAAACAGGCCCAACCCATGGACTATGACCTGGGCCTCCTTCCTCCCCACCGTTGAGGCCAGCGTTAGAAGACCAGCCCGGCTGACTGGACAAGAGCTTCAGGTTTCTATCCGTAAAGCAGCTCCCTTCCCCCCTTCCCTTCCTCCCTTCCCCTGATTTCTTTTGGCTGTGCCCTCCTTCCTCTTTCTGGCCTCTGGACCCTGGTGAACCTGGCAGGGAGGCTGACCCCAAGGCCAAGATCTTGGAACTCGCCACGGGGAAGCAATAGAGGCATCACATTTCTGCTCTGTGGGCATCAGGGTGGGAATGGGATATCTCGGGGGTGAAGGTTTACACCCAAAGCTGCGGGACTCAGAAGCCTCTCCTTACCTTTCTCCCCCCTAAAGTCAGCTTACCCTGTTTCTGGGAAGGAGGACAGAGAAGGAAGAAATTATCTTTATTGTCTTTTAGCCCACAAATGCAGAAAAAGACTTGAGAAGTTACAGTGAGGTGTGTTTGTGTTCAGTACAAGGAATCTTCTAACCGTTAGAGCTCTGACAGTGGACCAGGTTGCCCCAGGAGGTAGTGAGTTTCCCCATCAGTGCAAGCATTCAGGCAGAAGCCGAATGGCACTTGGGAATGCAGCGGTCAGACTAGCTGACTGCTTAGGTCACTTCCAAGTGCAGGGCTGGGAGTCACCTGGGTAAGTAAAGCATAGCAGGATGGCTTTAAATGTCATAAACTATTGCCAGGGAATGAAACCACAGGCCCCAACATTCTCTCTCCCCAGCAGGAAGCTGAATCCCCTGCTGGGATCTGGGCCTCCTCCAATTATAAATAAAATAAACCCAGACCAGGCAGGAGAGGAACACGAAGTGTTCCACCCCTTCTGTGGTAGTGGCAGGCAGCTGGGAGCCACAGCAGCCAGGGAGGGAGGTAGGAAGGGTAAACAAAAAAACCAGGCTCAGCATATTAAGCACCGACTATGGTGCAAGGAATTTGGGACAAAAAGGGAAAAAAAAAAACCTCAACCCTAAACTGTCTCTGCCCTAAGGAGCTTATATTCTATCCGATAGAATCTATACAGATACACAGATGTCCTTTCCAGTTTGGACATTCCACGTTCAATTTAATTCAATTCAACAAACATTTATTGCCTATGTTATTAGGATGTGCAAGGTATGGTGGTGCTAGGCTTCTGGGGATACAAAGACAAAGCAAAAAAACAGCTCCTGCCCTCAAGGAGCTTACATTCTCCTGGGAGAACAGAACACCAGCCCAGATACCAGGAAACGCAAGAGATCGTGAGCATCGAGAGGGCACTAACCACTAGGGGGCGGGATGGGGGCGGGATGGAGCAGGCGAGGGAAGCAGGAAAAGCTTTCTGCTGGGAGAGGCACCTGAGAAGAGTCCCAGAGAAAGCTAAGAATTCTAAGGGTGAAGTGGTGTGTTCCAGGTGTGCCGGGTGGGCGAGTCTACCAAGGCACGGAGGTAAAGGGATGGAATGCTGAATTCAGGGAATGGCAGATGAGCCAATGTGGCTGGAACAGAAAACTCTAGATGGGGAAGAATGGGAAGTCCCCCCCCACCCCAGCCCTGATTTTCAGTGTGCTAAGGGCCCCCCTCCTCCCAGCTCTGACATTGTATTATATGAGCCCCTCAGCTCTGACACGCCATGTTCTAAGGGGTCCTCTCAGCTCTGACACTGTGTTCTATGGGCCCCACAGCTGGGACATTCCATGTTCTATAGGGTCCTCCAGGCCCTCCCAGCTCTGACATCCTGTGTTCTATAGGGTCCTCCCAGCTGTGCGGTATTCGCTCTTCTAGGAAAGACATTCTGTTCTCTGTTCTGAGGCTCCTGCCACCTGACATTCTATGGCCTTTTTTGCAGGTGAGGGAGTCAGAATAGGGGTGGACAGAGGTTACACATGAGCTGCCTTCCCTGAAAGCCATTATAAGACCTGGTGAATATCATAAGAAAACCTGCTATCTCAGGAAATCTCAGCAGGCAGTCAAGTCTGCTCCAGGAATCCCAAAGATTCCCTGAGCAACTTACAGGCCAAAGAACTATACAGAGATCTACAGAGGATTAAATAAAGCTTCAGTTATCTCTGTGGGGTCCAGACTGTGATTTTAGTGGGGAAAAAAATAGCGAAAGTGTCAAGGAAGACCCTCTTTCTGGGCTATCAGAAACTTTCACTTTTTGCCACCAAGGTTTATAATGAGGAGCAATTCTTACCCACAACTAACCTACCAACCACTTCTCGGCAGGGAGCCAGGGATAGTCCCTCCTCTGGAAGCAGCGGCGGCACTACGGAAAGAGGCCTGGGCTCCAGCAGCAGTTTCCTAAGGAACCTGAAACAAGCCCCTTCCCTGGGTCCATTTCCCCATTTATAAAACTAAGGGATTAGAAGAGGCTATCTCTAAGACCAGCTCTAATATCTGAACACATAGGACCTGGAGAGTAATACCACATTACATTCTACAGCACAAAGCCATGCCATGGGAGCGTTCCCAGGAATCCCCAAGTCTTGTATACTCTGCATTCCCCTTCCCTTATAGGGACTGAGCCCAGGAAGCAGCCAGATCAGGAGCTCAGATGGAGCCCCCTCAAGGGACCAGACACGGAGAACACAGGGAGGGCACTTACTTGCCCGGGTGGCACCTGCCCAGTCCCTCTCAGCCTTCTCCCACGATCCTCTCGCAGCCCCCCCCCCACCCCTCTCCCTCCCACACACTACTACCACCCAAGGCGATGCTAAAGACACGATGACCAAACACTCAGTGCCTCTGGAACCTACTGGGATTGGCTAAGTAAAAGTTCTTTTTAACTTTCAAGAGATTTCTAAGAGACAAGTCAAGGCTCACATCAGTGCGGAATGGACAAAGACAGCCAGGTTTAGGCCTGCGTGGTCCCACAGTTTGCAGCACCTGGGTCCAGCCATAATTCAAGTCCCCAGGACTCCTTCCCTTGTCTCTCTCCCCCTGCCCCCCAAACTAGGAGGAATCCTTAACCCCTAGCAGGGAACCAAGGCAAGCACACAAAATAAAAAGTGGGGCCATTTGTGCGGCACAGCCTCTTCTACCAACTCATCTCCAAAGGTTCTGATATCCCCAGCTGGGTGTTGGTGTGAAGCTTGTGTCCAGGGAGGACACCAGCCCAGGCTAATCTTCCCAAGCCTCCCTTCACCAGAGCTCAGGGGTAACTGTGGCACGGGAGCACAGTGGGAAGAACAATGGACTCAGAGGCAGGACACCGGGCTTAAATCCTCCACGACACTCCCTGGGGGAGCTCAGGCAGATCACCCCAGCTCTGTGAGCCGCAATCTGCTCATCTGTAAGACAGCAACGTTGTCTTGGAAGACAAAGCTTCCATTCCCTCTCTTTTCACAGAGCTGTTGTATGGAGGGCGCTTTGTAGACTTTAAAGCATTCACAGACATATGAGATTACTCTTATGAGAATTGCTCAGATGGGGGTGCTCCAAAGGTTTTCTAGTGGAGAAACAACCTTGGAGCATTTGCATGACAGTTTTCTTCCAACGGTTCCCTTTAAAGCTAAGCAGGTTGTCTGTCACCAAGCCCACAACTAAGGGTAAATGAGCTGAACAAGAGGTTTGCCAAGTGCCCTTCTGAGCCTAAATTTACCCAACACCACAACAGAGTGGAAAAATCACTGTATCAAGAGTCAGAAGACATGGGTTCAAATCCTCAGCTGCAAAAGGAAGATGTTGGGACTCGATTTCATTCACTTTCAGCTCTCAATTCCATCATTCTAAAACTGAGGAAGGAGGACGGGAGGGGGAAGGGGGATCACTTAGTCCAGCAGTCCCTTAAGCTCCTACAGCAAGGTAGAGTTTTGACTGAAGACATGGTAATGGGCCAGGCTGAGGCTGCCATTCCACTCCAAGGAAAGCAGAAGTCACTCTAGCTTCAGCAGGATCCACCTGGCAGCAGGTAGAGGGCAAGGCCTCTCAGTCCCCAAACTATCTGTCAGCACACACCACCTCCATCAGAGCTGGGA